AGTTTTCTTGAGGTAATTCTTAGTTCTAGCCAAAAGATTTGATTAATTTTGGGGTACATGTTGTTCTGTATTTGTCCATTGAGGACAGTTTATTACATAATCATCTTATTTTTGCCATTATTGATTCATTATTTTGAAAATACTCAATTAGTTTTAAAGAAAAGTGATGACTGTGCTCATTAGGTCGAGTCTAGAATTAGATTTTATTTTCTTAAAATATATTCGCCCCGCTATGGTGCTGACGGACTCTGTAACCTCTATCTACAACGACATTTCTTTCTTCGGTAGCAGCATTGCAAACTAGAGAAATGGACGAACCGGCTGGGTGAAGTACTCTCTCTCTGAACCAGACTCGAATTGATACACTAATACTATATGTATGCAAATATGAGAGAAGAAAATAAGAGAAAAAAACTCGTAATTAGACAAGAAGATTTTATGAGTTTGGTGTGATTTGTAAATGACCCAAGGAGGGTATTTATAGGCATGTAGGTGTCTTTTCAGTTGATCCGAATAGTCACAGGACACAATGGTTCAACTTGAACCAATACCAAAGGCACCTATTCAAATGGGGTGCATTGGTGCACACCAGGTGCAATCATTCGTAAGCCCACCCCAATTCAAACAATGAAACCCATCAAAGTAATCCCAGCCAAAAATAAAATTAAACCAAACAATTCAAAAATTTTATTTTTTATTAAAAAAATAATCAAATTTTAAACCCATACTGAATTGGAGGTGCGTGTGGTAAATTCGACCAAGCTTGCCTACGTCTTGCTTTCATAAAAATTTGGGCCAAACATAAAGAAGGTGAATTTTTTTTTTTTGGTGGGACTAATACTTATTTCTTACTTATTTTAAAGACACGTGGAGAAGTGAAAAACAATTCACAGTGCATGGTCGTAGGGTGTAAAGCATAGTGGACCGGGACCCACAAATCTACAGAGAAAATGAAATGACGAGACAGTCTGTTCTGTTCCCACCGTAAAGGAAAGGAAATAGATTGATACCATCAAATCGGATCCAATCGTTCCATCAGATCCTTCACCAGGAGTGAATCTCTATAAGAAAGATACGTTTTCTTCAATGGAAAGCCCAGATCATATTAGCTCTTTATATAAAGTGTGTGTACATGTGTGCGTATAAAATAAAATATAATATAATAATATGTGGTGCTACAGAAGTATATATTCTACAGCACAATCACACAACAGTGTGTTCACGTGGTGGACCGTCTATATCAGGAAACAACATCTATTTATATGAGGTAAAGCTAATCCTAAGATCAACTGTCAAAACCAATTGCAGCTATTAAAAATTGCAGATTTAGAACTGACTGTTCAGGCAAATGGAAGGTGGTGGGATAACTCTGTGTATATACTATATACATATATATATATATATGGGTGATCATATCTGTCTCGAAAGTTGGAGCATACCTGTCATTTTATGCTATGACTACTTCGGATCCTTTACTCTTTATTTATTTATTTATTTATTTATTGCAGTAGGATGCTTTAAATTTGTTCCAACAACTTCTTTTGAAAAAAAAACTTCTTTTGAAATTTTTTGAAGGATGTGTTTATTTAAAAAAAAAATTATTTCGAAACATTAACACTTTTTTTTGTCAAGCTTGATAATTCTTACTTTTACCGTCCAAAATTTTTGTCCATTTTTTATCTTGAAATATTTCAAAGTATATATCTTATTCCCTCCATCCCATTTTGCTTATCCACTTTTATATTACAACTATTTAAGTTTAATGCATTGTGTTTTTTAAAAAAATTATCTTCTTGTTCTTTTAAGTGCAAATGTATATATTATCAAGTTGAAAAATATTTAAAAATTTTAAAGGATAATTATAAGAAAATAGTATTTTTTTTCTTTGACTTGTCAAACGGGACAATTAATTTGGAACAATCAAAAATAAAATAGTAGATAATTAATATGGGACAAAAGAATTTTTTTATATAATATTCTTAAACTATCTTTTTAACGTTAACTTGGTTAGACAAATGCATTAATTACAGAGTATTCATTTATATTTTAATAAGGATAATTTTGAAAATTCATTCTCATCAATACAATAAAAAAATATTAAAAACCTACTACTATAAAAAAAATTGGATTCCTAGACACTCCAAAAATTTTGGAATAGAATGAGTAATACACACACACACACACACACATATATATATATATATTGAATTAAGTAACTACTCACATAGTGAAGGACTTAGAAATTTTTATTTGGAGGGGCTAAACTTAAATGATGTAATTAAAATTTAAAAAATTAATTATAGTATAATTGATTTCTAAATTTTGATTTAGTCTTAGTAATAGGGATTATAATATATACATTTATATTGAGAAAAAATATAATCTAAAATATTGAAAATAAAGCCTAAATCAATAGAGATAAATATATAATTAATATAAGAAATAAAACGATTAGTTACATATAAAAAGGGAAGTGGTAAAAAAGAATATTGTTAAAAAAAATTTATTTTCTTTCCAGTTGTTTCACTTTTTGAAAAAAAAAAATTAAGTACTTTATATCATTATTTGATTAGTAAAAGAAATGTTTGTTTTAACTAAGTAAAATCTTGTAAGTTTTAATAAAACACGATTATTACAAAAAAGATGAAAAATATTTTAGTAATTTATACATAGAATAGCTATAGATTTTTATTTATTATTTATTATTATTATTTTTAAGTTAGTAAGAATAGCAATATAATTTGAAATTTAACAACTGAAAAATAAAAATAATAACGTACATGATATCGATATTTTATTGGCATATTTGCTATCTTAGTATTACAACACTTTAGTTTTTTCTTCATTCATTCTCTAAAGACTCGGTAATGGAGATGAACATATAATTTTAAATATTTTTCTTATTTACATAATATCACAAAAATATTTGATAAGAAGGATTCATGTACCTTGCAAATGTAAATGTACTAATAATATGTTATAGGCTTATAGCAAGGACTCTCAAAATAATGAAGTTACATTTTTGTTTCAGAAGTAATACCAAAGGTGTTTAATTAGATTTTTTATGAAAATTTTAAAAAATATATAACTATACTTATTTCTAAACTCATTATATTTGAGGCAAATAAATTAGAGTCTAATTAGACTTTAGGGCTCTTTTAATTTGTAATTCTGAAAATAATTATCAAGAACTCAGAACTAAAAAAATTGTTAGAATTTTCTGAAAACAGAAAATTGTTCTCATAATTACAAATCAAGAAAGCCCCAAGGCCTCGGATCTAGTTCGGGCCCAGTGGGGCATCCGCTCCCACCTTATGTTTTCTAAATTGCATTATTACAAAAATAATTTTAGTTAAATTTCAAAAATACCCCCACTCAATTTTTTAAAATGCCTCTTTCACATTTTTCCTCTCTCATTTTTTCACTGGATTTTTCTAATTTATATTATCACCTAAAATTTTAATTAAAATTTCAAAAAATCCACCACTCAATTTTTTAAAATGCCCCACTTCAAAAAATATTAAAATAAACCTGTCCACGAACTTCTTTCACCCACTTCAAAATAAAATTCCTGAGTCGGTCCCGGGCACAAGTTTTTAAAACAAAACTACAACACCGCTCCAACGTCTATCATGTATAGATATATAGAATATGTATGTATGTATAGGCGTGTGGATATATATAATTATATATATATATATGGGGATACGAACCTCTCCTACTCACAGGTCTAGGAGGGGCGGCTTTCCTCCTTTGACGCCGCCGGATCGGAAACAAGCAAACGTATTTGCGTACCAAGTCAATTCAATACGATTTTGACTACTTTTGGAGTAAATTTTTTTATCTTTTTTTATCATTCTGGTGAGCAAAATAGCCTTCTTGACTCTTCGGTCCACACGTTACTACAGTTTGAACCGGGTCATACTCAGAATGAACCGGGTTCTGGATCCCAAGACTCACAACATGATATTTAAAAGAAAAAAAATTAAAAAAATAAAATTTTATTACGCAAGGATTCAAATTCACATAGGGCAAAATGAGTGTGCTAGTTTTTCGTAAATTAATAAGATACGTCTTTTAAATTAATGAGCTCTGAGTAAATTTATGTATAGATTACACTAATAAATACTATGCTTTATATAATTCTATATGAATAAACATAAATTGATTCACCATTTGGACTAAATTTATTGAGAATTTTAAAGGTCAAGTGTGACCATAAATGCATTTATTTTAAATGGATTCTAAATAAGATTAATTCATATCCTTTGTTCGATTTCGTTTTACTGTAACCGCGACCATAATTGATACATAAGTAGTTCAAAAGTTAATTTGACTATATATATATATTTAGTCAAATTAATTTGAAACACGTATCTAACCCTTCTTCATCGTCTTATTTTCTTTAATTTAACAATTCAAATCTTAAATTTTCGAATTAAAAAAAAATTCATTCTTGAGTTGTACCTTATTTCTAAATTATACTTAATCTAACAACCATCACGCTTCTCTAAAGCGCATACAATTAAATATATTTTATTGGTTAAAAAAAAAACACACAAATTAAATACAGTAATATGTAATTACATAGTACTAATTATCAACCATCACATCAAAACTATATCAAAAAAAATAAAATCAAATTAACAACTTAAAAATTGAATAGAATTGGGTGTGATTTGGGAGTAGTAAAATCTAATTTGGACCCACCAAAAGGTAAGTCACATCGGATCTGGTCCCCCAAAAGCCCACCCATTCACACCCGAAACCCTAATAATCACGCCACGTAAGCAAGCAAATGCGTTTACACACTAAACACGACAAAGAGTACTTATTACATATATAAAAGAGAATATACGTTGAAATGGAAACGGTACAGTTTTGTTTTTGTTTCGTTTAATAAGTTTATAAATGAGGAGAGAGAAAGTGTACGTATTGAATAATACTGTCAGGAAAAGAGACAAGTGGAAGATAATGCATTTAGATTTTCAAAGATTTCACCAATCTTTCCTTTTAGTCTTTTAGCTTCTTAAAGTAGATTTCCAGATTTTGTGTGTTTATTTGTTCAGATACGAATATACATCTATATCTATATATCTATCTATCTATATATATATATAGACACATAGAGAGACAGTGTGTGCTTGTGTGTCTTCGTCAGATCAAAAACACGTTCTACTATTTTTTTGAACACTTGGGGGAGAGAAATTTTCTGGCAATGGCGGCAATTGCCGGCGAGTACTTGCGACCGGAAGCGAGAGAACTGCACGTGCTTGCCGTCGACGACAGTCACGTTGATCGGAAGGTGATCGAGCGGTTGCTCAAGATCTCGTGTTGTAAAGGTGAGTGAGTTCAATTCGAATCGCAATTTGAATGGTGTGATTTTGAGGTGTTTGATTTTCGTTGCTGAATTTCGATTGCGTTTCGAGTGTTTCAGTTACGGCCGTGGAGAGTGGAAGCAGAGCTCTGCAATATCTAGGTTTGGATGGGGAGGAGAAGAGATCGGTTGAATTCGATGTAAGTGAAATTTGATCGGAAAGTGTGTGTTTGTTCTGTTTGGTTGATGAGAAAGTGGAGGAAAGTGAAAGAGAGTTGAAGATTTTGAAAATTCGTTTATTTTCATTTTCCTGCAATTTTCTCGTCAACCAAACGGAAGATTTTAATTTGTGCTTTTGAAAGAAAAGGTTATCTGGTTGTGATTTGGTTATTTATTTGTTATTTTTGATTGTGTGATTGTATAGGCTTTGAAGGTGAATCTAGTAATCACGGATTATTCTATGCCTGGAATGAATGGATATGAGCTGCTTAAGAAGATCAAGGTTGGTTAACTATCTTTCTGTGTTCATTCATTTATATGAATTCTCTGTTTGGTTCCTGAGAAAATATAGAGGAAAAAAAAAAAATCTCTGTTGGTTTGGTTACCCAAAAGTTTAGGAACTTTATGAAATTACCAATATTAGGCTCACTTGAGTAAGTGCTTGTGGTTTGCCTAGATTCCAAGTACAGTGAAATGTTTGAGATTGACAATTTGGATTCATATCATTTCCTTTATTATCTCGGCAAACAAACAGGACAGAAATTAGGAAAAGGAATGATTTTATTACCATCTCACAAGAATGATTATTAAACTCCTTAGTGAGTGTTGTCATTAAGAATGGTGTTTCTTCTTTAATTTCTGTGCAGGAATCGTCGACTTTGAAGGAAATACCTGTTGTGATCATGTCATCGGAAAACATCGTCACTCGCATTGATAGGTATACCCTCTCAATTCAATTATTTCTCTTTGCGTTAGTACTTGTTTTGAGTCCGTTTGTTGGATCATTAAGCTGTGAGAATGGTCTTGAAATCAATTGAAATTCATTCCCAAGTAGTACTATAATTGTTAGGTAATCTACAGGATTGGTATTTTCAATCTGATCCATGCCTATGTTCTCTAACATTCCCAATCTGTTGAATTGCTCATTATGATGAACAAACATGTATTGCAATTTAAATTCATTTGAGGTTGAATCCAGCTTTTGAGATTTTGATAACGTTCTGGTGATCATTTGATATAGAATCATAGATCCGATATTTTGAATTAAAATTTATTATAATTGTTTCCAAATGGTTTTGGATTGACCAATATGATGACCGAATGTAATTTTTTGACAAGCCTATAGGTTCCACTCATGTATCACCTCACTTGTCAAGTTAAATTCTTGTGACTAAATATACATATTACAAAATGCCCTTTTGTAGTTTGAATCATTTGGATACACAAAACCCATATGCTTGTTTTACTCAACCTTTGTCGTTGCAATGATTGAGTTACCTTGTGGGAGATCAGCCTCTATAAGAACAAATATTTAGTTATCTGAATTTGTTTCTTAATCTATCATCCGTAATTAATTCGTTTCGTTGATTGTGTCATTCATGCCTATTAAGCTTGCTAATGTTTGAATCATTCCACCACATATGGTTGTACAAAAGTGTATGATGCTTTGTAGTGGACACATGCTGACAGCATATGTTTTTGTCAATAATAGGTGTTTGGAGGAAGGGGCAGAGGAATATCTTGTGAAGCCGGTAAAGCTGTCGGATGTGAAACGCCTGAAAGATTTTTTGTTGAGAGGGGAAGAAGAAAATGGGGAGAGAGTAACCACCCACAAGAGAAAACTACTAGATGATTATGTGCCATCATCACCATCGTCGCGTGCTTCTTCTGATCAATCTTCATCCCGGCCACCATTGCCATCATCGTCGTCACCATCATCGCGTGCTTCTTCTGAACAATCTTCATCCTCACCACCATTGCCATCACCTTCTCCATCAAAGCGGCGCAGATTGCATAACATAGATTGACCTCGTGCCATTCCGATTTTGAGAAGCATATTTTATCGGCCTTGGCCCATACTACCACAGCATTCCCCGTGGAGGGGATGATTCTTTTTGTTTTGTTTTGTTTTGTTTTGCGAGTATACCCTTACAGTTGTATATGCTAACCCGAAGACGATACCATTTTGACACTCCCTGGTAGGGGAGAATTAGGAAAGATGAGTGGGAAAAGTTGGGAGATGATTTTAGTTTCTGCTTTCTTGTTCATAAGTAGGAATTCAGATTATATTGAACTCAGTAAAATTCCCAAAGGCTTTTGAAATGTTTGTGCCTTTAAATTTCATTTCACGCAGTGCTAGTCTTCCCCTATTTTTCTGTTGGTATTTGATTCCCCATTCTGATTTCTATCCAGCTAGTTTCATTCTGATTTCATAGAAAAAGAAGGGAATGAGAACCCAAAATGGACAATTCCAAACTATATAAATCTTGAACGTCCATCCAAATCATTGTTGTTGAAACATGAAGGGTAGTTGGTGTAAGAATTTTTGGCTTCATCGATTGTCGTTTTATAATATTAAAACTCTATTAATGATCAAGATTACTACTATTTAGATGATTATAAATTTTTGGGCTAAAATTTTTAAACTCCCCTCTTATTTTAAAAAATTATAATATAACTCCCTTAATTATTAAATAATTCTCTGCAATAACAAAAATTACCAGGTTGCTCCTTTTTTGTGGCAGAATTGTTAAGTTGTTATGAGATGATAATAATGCCCTTAATAGTATATTAATATTTTATTAAATTGAAATTGTAGTATGAGAAGGACAATTTCGTCATTATAAATTATAAGGTTAATGATGCAACTTGTTGTAGTTTTTAAAACACCAAGGAAAATATAATAGTTTCTTTAGTTGAGGGGATTAGTTGATAATTTTAAAACAAGATGAGAATTTTATGATTTGAGTCTTAAATTTTTTGGTTTATGGTGTAACTTAGTCATATGTAAGTGTTAAAAAGATATAAATATTGATCTGTATGTATGTATGTAAATATATATAGTTAACATTATATACAGTTATCTATAATGTTGAACATAATCCACATTTAGTTTGTAGTTTGTACACGGTTATCAACATAATCCACATTGGGTTTGTTGAAGGTCACCTGATCACATTGATTTTAATAGATATTTATATGTATATATTGTTTATTTCCCACTCTCATGCAGGCCCTCACTTCCAATTAGTCTTGCCCTATCAAAAAAACGTGTTAGTTTAGACTATGTTTTGTACAGTAAAAAAGAAAAGAATGGGAAGGAGATGATATTGTTATCCATTTATTGTGTTTGATTGATTAAGAAAGAAATAATCATGTTTGAAAAAAAAAAAAACTATTTTAATGAATTTACTATAATACAAGTTTTTATAGATTTTGTCTTTTTATAAAAATAAGGGCAAAATTAGTATTAATAAAGCTTCATTAATAATTATTGTCTTTCCTTCCGTTTCCTCCCATTTTTTAAAGGATAACAAAACCAACCCAAAATACCTAAATTGTATCCTTCTAAATCCCTCTATTTCCTTTCTTTTCCTTTTAATGATAGCATGGTCAAACATGGTATTTCATTTCCTTCTATTACATTTCCTTCCTTTTCCTTCCATCATCCTCCAACCAAACTGACCCTTACCGTATAGGTGGAAGTCATTTGGATGTTGGTGGTTGTATGTTGTTTTGGCTTCTTCACGTAGATATTCAGAAAGAGCTTCCAGTTTAAGTATGTGTATCAGTGTATGGTTTCTTAAATCAATTTATATTAGTTGGGACTCTTTTTCCCCTACCCGCCCAACTCCCAACTACCTACTCTAGTAGTATCTTTCATGAGGCCTCTCTGAGATATGGACACTATGCAGGCCCAGAAACATACGTGAAGATTTTTAACCCAAACCGGTATTTGGTTTGACCTTCTTATTTTTAGTTTATTTTTTAAAATATCATAAATTCCCTCTGCCCCTATCGCAAACTCTCTTATTTTGCATGATATTTTAAAAGGTAGAGGAGTTTATTTTCTATTTGAAGAGGTAAGAATTATATTTTTACTTTTAGATTTTGAACTTTAAACTTTCTACTTTAAAAGGTAGAAGATATATTAGATCTAAAATTTCAGAATTAGACAGCTTTATTTAAAATATCTAAAAAACACTCACACATACCTTTTTGCTCACACGCATACTCGAATCCCTCCCATTCTCTTTAAAAATAGAAAAATTATATCACTGAGTTAGATGTCATTTCGTATACTTTAAAAGTTAGTTTAAGCTGTTAGAGAATGCACAACTTTAATACAATATTAGGTGCGGTGGTGGTGGTGCTGGAGTGGAAAGGGCAGCCGCTTTAGTTGCCCCCAACTTATGGTTTTGAGTTCGACTCTCCTCCCCTAACCCTCTAACCATTGTGTGAAAAGAAAGAAAGAAAAAAAAAAACAAACTCTAATACTGTTTTAAATACAATACTTACCCCCCCAAAAAAAAAAAAAAAAAAATACAATACAATCCCACCCTCCAACTCATGAAAGCAGAAAAATCTGTTGGGTGCCTGGTGTATCTTTTCAAGTCTGAATCAAAGCATAGGTCATGATGGTTTTATTTGGCTTGATTGAGGCTATACAAAGTTCTACAGTTGGGACTTTAGAAAACAAGTACAGTAATATATGCGAGTATCTCTTCCTGGCTCCACAACCCCTTAAAAAAACAACATGGAGCAGTTAGCCTCCGACCCATAAAGATTCGAATACCGAACTGGTGATCTAGCTGAGGGTGGGTCACATCTCTTTGGGAGTATTTTTTAATTTGGGGCCACCAAATCCTCATCCTATCTAAATATGGTTCTGTGTCCATTCCCCCATAAATCAATACACCTTCCGAGGCATCATCAATTCGGTTCGCACAGGCACAGCTATAACATTTGGGTCCTTGATTGACTTAATTGTCTCCCTTCCATCACCAGTGCTACAAATGGAGGATACAAGTACCCAAAAAAAAAAGAAAAAAAAGAAAAAAAAAACAAAGGAAAAGTATATACAATGGGTAGTTAATTTTTCTTTTCGCCCCATTCTTTCTATTCAACCAAGCAACAACCACAGCCAACAATGTTCCTTGAAAATTGTAATTTTGTGCAATCTCCCCTTATATTTCTATATTTTCAGCAACTTCAACCTTCCCAAGCGATGCGGGAGGGCGGAAAATATTGAGAAGAAAGATTAAAGAAATGGTCCGTACATTTGATACGGGCATGGTTGATATTTCATTAAAAAAAAAATAGAAAAAAAAAAAGAATGTCTCACTCGTCCGTAGGACTAATTCATAGTGGATTCTCACAAGGTGTTGAATAAGCTCCAAATCTTCCAAAGTAGATGGTGGTTAATATGGTATCAAAGCTATAGACACTCCATTTTGCCCTTACCCTTTCGGTTTACATCCGGAAAGATCTTACTGTTGGATCAAAAATTTGAATTCACCATAGTGTTCGGAACATCCCAAAACCTCAGGATACACCTACAATCAAGCTTGTTAAGCAATTCATGACACCCAATCATCAAACCCTAATTAAGAACGAAACGATCCATTTGCACCATAGCACACCAATCCAATTGTAGTATAAAAAATAAGACCTCACCATCCTCTCCAGAGTATCACAAAACTTTGGGATACACCTAAGATCAAACCCATTTCATGGTCCCTAGCACCTGATTACCTAAATTCAAGAAAGGGGCAAAATAGCAATTTTGCACCCAAACACGTCATTCCAAGTGCCAAATTGGGAAATGGGCCATCAAAAATATCCAAAAACATTAGGGTGACCTATAAAGTTGACTCCTAGGTGCCTTATAAGGGCAAAACGGTCAAACACTTGAAAGAACATTCTAAGACAATATGATGTCATCGCATTGATGTCATGTTCTGATGTTGTAGTCCTTCAAATAACGTAAAATGACCCGAATTGCCAACATGGCGAACAAATTCGAACTTGGTTGCACCTTAAGTTGCAGTCAGCTTAAAAATAATGTAAAACGAGCCAATCTGCACCATGATAGGCGAATAAGTAATGAACTATAAAAGTAAGATAGTTGTCTCTTGAGATGTGGCTAGCTCCAGTCCCATATCGAATTAACATCAAAATTTGGGACTCTTATATGCATTTTTCATCCCACATTGATTTAGGAGAAAAACTTGGTCCTCCAAGGATTTATATAAATAGAACTCTCCATCTTCCTTCATAAAAACACACATAAGAGCCTAACAATAGGCTCTATACTCTCTATCTCTTTATACTTTCTTTATAAAAGCACACCAGGGTTGACGGGATTAGGTAGTGGCAAACCTCCCTTCCCAACCGATTAAAGCCCTTGTAAAACCCCTTTAGGTTTATTATTTGATCATTCATTTTGTAAAATGAGCATTAAAATCAAACTATCTCTCTCACACACGCGCGCTTTTTAAAAAACTCTCATGGCATGCTGGTTAATTTTATCGGAATGACAAATTTTGTTCATGAAAAAGATGACACTTTGTAGGATCCTGTGGTCCTTTGGAAGGTTACAAAGTTATTTCCATTCGGGAACGTGCAGGCAACTTATCAAATTTTGAAGTTGTTTGCCTCTAAAAAATTGGGGTCCTTTCTAAGTGAACGGAAAGGGTTGCGGGTGTGCCAGGAACTGCTGTTGTTCCAAAGGGGAGCTCCAAACAATATTCCAATGGAAAGTTGTCGGGATCAAGCGATTGAAAGGAAGCTTAGAATGACCACTTCCAGGGGTTCTTTTTGCCTTGAAAAAGGATTTCGAGACTATTCTAGTGCTAGTGGAAAGGAAGACAGAATTGAAAGTGCAGGACTTTGAAATAAAGTAACTAAGATGTAATTGCTGGAATGTAAGAAATGAAGTGCTGGACTTGTAATTGAAAATACTAAAAACTACTTGCTGGAAAGTAGTAAAAGGAAGTGCTGGACTTAGACTAAACATAGTGTAAATTTATTGCATGGAATGAAAGATATATGGAATAGCAAAGTGCTGGACTTAGATTAAACATTATGTAAATTCATTATTGGAATGAGAGATACATGGATTGAAATTGAATAACAAAGATGTTGTATTGATGTGTTGTGTACGCTGAGCATGATTTGCATTCTAGGCCTAAGTGTTTTATTTATAGAGCTCTTCTATGCAGTAGTTGAAGGTGGCAGTTTTAGCAGCTTCCACTTGGCTTTCCTTCGGACTGCCAAGTGTCCCATGTCTTCCCCATATTTCCCATAGTGTTGACATATGTAAAACCATGTGTTCCCATGATCTA